TAAGTGTGTAAGAAACTTGGCACAGTATTTAATAGTGCTTTTTTTATCAAAATTACTACNCAACCCTCGACACTAACGAGTCACTAGACTGCTCGGTTAACAGAATGTCGGGTACGTCCCATTTCAATCTATCAACATTTTCAAATCCAACAAATGCATGTTATTTCGTTTGTAAATGTCCAATATCGTTCTTTCTTTACCACCTTGTGAGCGTCAATAAATGTTGCCTAAGCACGATGCTGATCGTTTAATACTTTTATGACGAGCTTTTAATTCAAGTTGTAACGAATTCTACATGATTTTTCAGTCTAATAATATGATGGTATTAACGGTAGCCTTGACTAAGCATTAATCATCACTCATTACCAGTCATTACCGGTCCCACTACTGAATCTTTCGTTGGCTATCTACTTATTAGTCACTACACGCATTTATTTAAGAAAGTTACAAAATTATTGCTATTGCATTATATCACTTCAAACAGTCTGAAGGTACTTTTTAACCGTTAAGGATTGGTCCTACAAATGCGGCATCGTAAACATGGCATAACTACAGTACAGAAAATTGGATATCATTGCACAAACCTTCCAGCAATTTTGCGATAATTGCATCAATATCCAGTTCATTAGACATTCTTTCAGTCTACTATGGAAAGTTGTATCTTTAACCTAAAAATAATTAAAATGAAAATCTCAATGAATTATAGTCATAATAGAGTTATAATATGGATTAATGTTGTACTTGCCAGAGAAAAGTCTTCCTGTGTTTCGTGCTAGGAAACAAGAATTACGATCAACGATAGATCAACACACCTTTTGTATATATACTATACACTATAGTACAGTCAGTACTGTACAATACAGTACGGTACGATATACTATACCACAGTACTACGGTCGAGTTGGTCCCGATTTGAGGAAACTCAGTCCTGTACAGTGTACAGTGTACAGTATATCTGCAACCAGACATACTGTACTGTACTGTGTACTGTATCCAGGACAGTCATTGCGTAGTTTACAGTACAGTATTGTAGTACTGTACACTACTGTACAATGTAGTGTAGGCTTTGTACTGTACGCTATGTGCTACAGTCTACAGTACAGATAGTAGAGTACTGTACTGTGGAGCGTGTAGAATTTCTTTC